AGCAATCAGAGCAGACGGATGGACCTCTAGAGTTTCAGTAGTCACAGGTAGCTTGTAGGAAAAACGGGCAGAGTTCTGTAAAGCTCTGTTAGGGGATGGAAGGTTAGAAAAAAACGCTAAGGATTGCTTGTATGGCCGCCTAGACAGGATAGGGGAATAGAAACTGCCCGCATTACACGTGACTTTGCGCTACCTTCCTGGAGGTCAGATTGGGGTTAGAATGAGGATTATCTTTAGTGCCAAGGTTCGGGCTCATTTACTTTGTAATTTACCATACTAGCGGCACAGGCACTAGCTGAACACCCAGACGCGTGTTTCGCGAGTATGCTGCCGGTAAGTTTGTAGGTTTGGGTTCATGTTGGCTGTAGGCGTTTGGGTTAAGGGTAGGATTATGGTTAAGATTAGGGTTGAGATTAAGGTTACAGTTTAGTTTTATGCTAGGATTAAGAGATGGGAATATTGATCCTTCCTGAAATGTATCGCAAGGATACCTATCTTAAGTGAGCGGGCCGTTCCTATTCCTATGTCCTGTTTAGACGGCTATACAAGTCATCCTTACCTAATGTTGGTCGCTTAGACATCCCTAAAAGCTTGCGCAGGTATCCCCAGCCACAAAGCATGCACAGAAACAGGCCGAGGTGGGTCTAAAGTACATGAAAAGACTCTTATTTTGCGTGATCATCGGGAGACGATCATGCTGCGTGGGTTTTATGAGAGTCCTCATCCAGCATCTGTCCGCCAATCCAATGAGAGGAAGATAAAGGGGACGAGGGAGTTCATGACTGCATATACTCTGTGTCTGTGCATGCCACATTGTCACGCGACTTCTAACGACCCTGTCCTCCTGGACCTCCATTCAGTCTGCCGGTGTCTCTACCTGGGCTTCGTGGATGTGGAATGGTCGGTGGGCGATACGGCCGTTGAGCGAGCGGTAGACAGTCTCATTCCCGAGACCATACTGGAATCCGTCACATGTGACCAATTGGGCGCCGAGAGTCCGGTTCAGTACACGGAGTGCCAGCTCCAGGTCTCCCCTCAGGAGGGCATTCTACTCACGGACCTCAATCGGAAAATTTTCTTCCAACGACACCTCTCCAGTCCAAGTATCGTCTTTGTCGGCGTGGATCCACGTGACAAGATGTAAGTTGTGTAGGCATGCGAATGCTCTGGCTTCTCTGGCTGTACTTCATCGACTCTGTCTGCATGCGATCTCGTTGTGTTGAGCAGCACCTCACATGGTGCGTTTGCATCCCTGCACGTCAGGCAGTGATCCAAGTAACCAAGTCCATACAAGAAAGTGCAAATCTAACAGTTTGCGTTCTTTTCTATCAAGAGAGTTTTGATTAGGCGATTCGAAAAGCTACGCTTTATTATTCCCAATAGCGATCTTCTGCTGATTAAGGTGGCATTCTACCTGGATAGAGATTTTTGTTTTTATTCCCCTTCGATCGCCATTGCATGCTTGCTTTTTTTTAAATCAATAGTCTAGCCTGGCCACTTTTCAAGCAGGGTCCTGTGATTGAGCAGTCATGTGAGATTTCTATGATAATTTGCTGACTGCCTGACGTTTGGAAATACTTGCTCGATGACCCACTTATATGTAATGAATAAAAGTGCAGAAAGTCACGAGTTTTTATCTAGCGATGGAATTAATTTCGAGTTACACCATACCGCCGGTATACAGAATCAGCTATAGGCAAGGAAGCTAAAGCTGTGTGGCAACTACTGAACGAAAATTGCAAAGTGGTCTCCAGTTGCACGAACCGACCCATCCTAAGGACCTGTTGCCCGAAAGCAAAATGGATGGCTGGAGTCAGTCATGTGGCACACCGCCCCTGTAATCTAGGCGGCATTGCAATAAATTCCAGGAAACGTACTTAGCCCCGTGTCCTAAGGCTAACCCCAACCCTAGCTCAAACCGTAACTATAACCCCAATCCGAACCC